TATTATTGCTCGAGTATTGCATCATAATGAATGGCCATTCACTGTTTCTCACTGTTCATATTGTCGCTCACTGTCACTGTATATAAATTATTAATACATGGTGCATACCAAAGGTACATACCGCTTCTGCCTCCTCTCTCCCAGAGTCGTCCCTAGTTCTTTTCTGATACTAGCCTAAATCTAATTCGATCTTTATAGTTAGCATAATAGGACTAAAGTACATTTCTTATACAACTAGCTACTTGTCCTAATTCGCTTTCTGTAACGTATATGCTACAGTATGTTTTGGTTTGTGAATCTGTGCCTTTGCATTTGTGAATCACCTACAGGGTGAAATCTTCTTCTTTGTGAATGTGGATATTTTTGAGACAAATTTCACACGTTTTTATGAAAAATATATGCACAGTTTTCAATCCTCGCAAAATCCGGATTTATTCAAAAAGTTAGTTTTGCATGCAATTTTTTGAACACGCATTAGAAAATAAAATCTAATTGTATTTGCAAATCTCTGGTTTTGCATGTGAGCGTTTGAGTCTGCATTTATGAATCACTCACCGCGTGCATTCAGCCTTTGATTCGCCGAGGATCTTTTTGACACAAACATCCCGCCGCGTGGTTTTCCCAGATTTATTCTCGCAACAGCACAGTTCCCTTCGTGACCGCTTGGAGGCAGTGGGATGACGGGCCTGCAACTGGGGGTAGTGTTGTTTTCACGTGAGCCTTTTTCGCTGTTAACTTTTAGCTTCAAATAGCGATAAATAATTGTGGCATTCTTTCTGTTGGCAAATATCAATAAATAATAAACTATATTAAATGTACACTTTAAAAAAATGTTTTTTAAAAGAAGTAATTTTGGTCTGCGCATGTGTAGTGCTGCTAAAGATAGAAAGTGGGCCTCCGGAGGAGTGGCAAGTCTATCACCTGGAAAGCATGGCTGAGAGATCAGAGTGAAAACGCTGGATGGGTATGTTTATCAGTGTTCTACTTTGCAGTGTATAATATTTCAGCCAACTCAGTGAAAATGTTGTCGGGTAAAGTAATCCAAAGCATTTAGCCTCACATGTATTTTTTATGGTATGTTTGATCACAATCGTTAGCGTAGCCAAGTAGTCATTAGGTAAAGTTAGCACCATATTCACAAATTTGGGCTTCCGAGGGCAATAGCTCATGAAAGCAACATTGTTGAACGAAAGTAATAGTACCAAAACAATCACCGTTACATAGACTAACTCCTACAACATTGATTTTTCAAATCGATTGCGATGTGTTGACGCAAAGAAACGCATTAGATCCAATATGTTGCAAGACCCACACCAATCTCTCAGAAATGATAAACAATGATTATATCTAACTACTACAACCTTTGATTTCACCATCGAAGCCTTAATTTCCATAATTATTAAAAAATACGATATAATATTAACATTAATCTGCAGTTGGTGCTATTACTTTTGTTCAAATTGCTTTCAAGAGCTATTGACTTCGGAAGCACAAATCTGAATATGGTGCTAACTTTACCTAACTTAGTAAGTAAAATGTTACACAATTCATATTTAAGATAGTATTCTGAGACTATAGTGTAATAATGATTGACCAATACATAATAGGTTGCGTTGACATTGTAAAATGTGATGTCATAAGGCCAGATGTTGGGTAAGAGACAGTTTTTCTTGTGCTTTGCTGTGAAATATCTTAATAATAATAATAATAATAATAGTAATAATAATAATAATAATCATCTTGTTGTTAATCTTAATAATAATAACCTGATTTTCCTTCTGTTTTTCTAGAATTTACTCCAGAGACAGCCCCTTGATCCAGATTATGTAGAATTTGTATGCAATCAAGAAATTGTTTTTCTAGATATTGTCGCCCAGCACATCCCTGTTCCACTGGAGGTTACCCGCAAATTGATGCAACTAATTGGGGAATTGCATTCTTTAAATGAAGAAAGGCAAACAGCCCTTGTACCGGTTCAGTTTGAACAAGTACAAGGGTCTGGGCGCCGAAGAATATTCATATCCAACGAAGTCCTGGCATATCTTTTGGAATCTTGACTATCAGGGACGACTGTGGCAGAGCTATTGGCAATATCTCGGTCTACACTCTACAGAAGAATGGAAGAGTACAACGTCTCTGTTAGAGGAATGTACAGTCGGTGTACAGATGAGGATCTTGATGGACTCGTCTCTCAAATCAAGCAAACAATGCCACATGCAGGGTATCGACTTGTGAAGGGGACATTGGAGGCACAAGGTCATAGAGTGCAGTGGAACAGAGTGAGAGCATCCATGCATCGAATTGATAGCATTGGAATACTGTCACGGATGACTCAACTTGGATGTGTTGTGAGAAGAACCTATTCGGTGCCTTGCCCAAAGTATTTGGTTCATATTGACACCAACCATAAGCTTATTAGGTAAACTACATCAATTGGTCACCAGAATCTGATTGTTTTATTGCCAGTATCCGTGACAGGAAAAAATCACAAACTAGGTAATCTGCTTTGGTAATCTGGTGCAATACGATAATAAAGTAATAAATTATCTTAAAAGAGGAAAATATAATGGTAAAAGTTTTTTAAAGTGTAAACGCACAGTAAGAAATATACTGTATACATTAGTCATGTCATCAGTGCAGAGCGAGTGCACTGATGAGCTTAATACATTACCAGAAGTGTATAGAGTAGCAAAGATTTAAATCATTTAAGTGTGACATTGCAATGTAACTACTGTAAAAATACAAAGTGATAAGCCAAGATGTAGGAGTAACTATATGTATGTAACAAATTGTATAGTAAAATTCTTTGATGCTAAATGCAATTACTTGTAATTACAACTGTATTGTCCCTCAGGTTCAACTTTGTTATATTTGGTGCCATTGATGGCTTCTCACGTAAGGTCAGAGATACATTACTTATCTTAACCTCTTAGCCCCCGCTGTAACCGAGTGCATTTTCTCCGGTTCGGTATTACTCAAATCTAAAAGTTTTTATGGACTGGAGTGCAACAGTGTAATGCCTAATTTGAAAGCTAAGCCCTACAAAAGTGATTGTAACTTTGTTGCCGCATTGTTGTCCTTGTTTTCGTGATGCGTTTTTCAAGAAGCTTTTAGATTTGGGAAAAGCCCAACTGGAGAAAATGTGCTCTGTTCAGGTGGGGCTTAAGAGGTTGTGTGATATTCCTGAAACTTTACATAGTGTACACTATTGTTTTGTTATGCAATATATTTTTCACTTGCAGATAATGTATCTTAACTCATTCACTGCCAGCCATTTAAAAAGCAGCATCCCTCATACTGCCAGAGATTTTGGACATTTTTAGTGTTTTTCCGAACCGCATAGAAATGTGAGCCCTTGGTTGACACAAGTATGAAACATACCAAATGAAAGCTCTATCCCTTGGCTTTCATTTTTAAAAAAAAGTAAGTTTCTAACCCTTTTAGTTTTTTAGCAATTGAGAATGCAAAATAGGTAACTTTCACACAAAATGCTGTTTCCTGACCAAGATTTGGAGAAAACAGCCTTTTTGTGAAACGCGCATTTTCAAGCAGAAAAGTGGGGTTTTTTTGTCTTTACTGATATTTTACAATGTATGACAGTTTCTTACTATGCCACAAAACAGAAACAATACTTTGAATTGTATTTTTAATGTATAATTATTTTTAAACAAATTAAACGTGTACACACAATACACTCAAAGGATTGTCTTATGTACACATAAAATATTCAACTTGTATACAATAAAAACACTTTGTTTACAAATATACAGTAAAAATAACACTTTCTGAACACTTTGAAACAATTTTACTTTAGTTTATAAAGAATGGGGATGGCTAGTCGCTACGTCATTGTAGCCGAAAACGTCACTTCCGTGTCCAAACCAAATTGCGGTACAATGGTGCAGTGCTGTGTCCCATCTTGTAATAACAGAAATGAAAATAAAAATGTAAATAAAACGATATGTTACTACCGCTTTCTTCTGGACGAAAACGAGAAGAGGAGATGGCTTAAACTGATACGGTAAGCAGGATTTAGAATCATGAAAAATACATTTAAGTGTGGGCTAGCGCCAGTATTTGCGCTAAACGTTAGCCAAGATAACGTTACCTGTTGCTGTTACGATGGAGTGGGGCCACATTACTAAACGAGATTAAAGTTATTGACGAGAATAAAGTTGTCATTTACTAGTTTAATATAGTTATGAGTTTTAAGTTGTTATTTATGAGAATCAAGTAGCTAGTTATTTATGAAAAGTCATATTTTATGAAATTAAACTCATTTTCGAAAATAAAGTAATTTACGAGAATTAAAATAATTACAAGATTAAGTAATTTACAAGAATAAAGTAATTCTTTACAAGATTAAAGTGACTACAAGATTAAAGCAGCAGTAAGCGATTTTTGGGTGTTAACATACGTCTTAAATATTGATATATTCCAATAGCCATCCCTTATATAGTGTTTGTACCTAAACACGGATCTCTCAGTCCTTCCAGTCTTCTCCCACCTATTGACCAGATGCATTGACGTCATACAGTCACGTGACCGTGCATGAGCTGACGGCGGAAGTAGTGCAAGCTAGCATTGCGGTGAGAGCAAAAAAGAGTGTAACTCCGCGAAAAGAGCAAAACTGACTCCAACTCCTAAACATTGAGACTCCTGTCACAAATCGAGAGATGGCTGAATGTTCGATGAAGTTATCGACGGAAGTAGGACATCTCGTTGGGGTCCATAAAACGCGGTATTTGGAGAAGTTACGGATTGCCGAACTGGAAGTTGACCCGTACCTTCTCCCCCCAGTCAATTTCGTAGATTTAGTTAAATGCACAACATTGCCCGAATTCTCCCCGCATGATCTGTACCATTACGTAGTGAACAATGTATCTCCTTACACTGGTTCAGATTTAAAAGCGTACAAGAGCCTGGATGCATACCAGTTTTTTGTTGCTGGCTGGGTCACTGGGGCTCGTTGTCAAGAAAGAGGGACACGGTTCATCTTAATGGCAAAGGTAAGTAATTTCGATTGCATTATGGTGCCATTTATCATGTGTAAATTCTAGGGCTGTCAAACGATTAATTTTTCGCATAGTAATGGTGAGTGAACTCACTATTAATCGCATTTTTAACATTCTATTTCAAATCCACTCCAATTGAAGTTAACTCATTCACTGCCCATGACGACAAAACTCGTCATGTTGAATAGTAACGCTCACTGCCCATGACGAGTTTGACGACTTTTTCGTGTTATTACACGGGAGGCTGCAGTAATGTCTGGCGCACCTTGTGAATGACCCACAACACTGATATATAGTGCAAATGTACCTGTAATGATAAATCCACACCAGTAGGATGCAGTATTGCACCACAGGAGAAGTCATAAGTCAGTGGAGAGAAGGAGGAGGAGTGTGGGAGTGTTTGGAGAGCGAGCTGCTGTAGCAGAGCGATGATAGCGTAGCATTGAGACAGATCAGCGATCTAGTTTAGCGATAGTATAGCAAGAGTGATGGCGAAAAAGAATAGTTATAAGCAGTGTACACTGCTTCAGAGATTGACTCGCGGATCAGTGAGTGAGGTCGAGAGGGGAGAGAGTGGAGACCCCGGTGGAGGTCCGTCTCTGCAGCCCAGAGCCCGGAGCAGAGACACACCTTCCGCCTCTCGCAGCGTATCAGCTGCTGCTGTTACTGATGCCTCGGATTCGTTCAGCAAACCTGATCATGATTTATCGGATGAGTGGTTGCAGTCTCAATCCAGCAGAGCATCCTCTTCAGAAGCTCCACAAAGAGTCGAAGGTAAGAACTTGCTAAATTGCCAAGAATATGCTAACTTGAGAGGAGGGAAAGGCGCAGAAACTTGCTCTGATCTGCAAAGTAACACAGCGCTCAAATCCTACTGTTTCTTTAGTAAATGCCAGTTATGCGTTTTATCATTGTTGTATTTATTATTTTTATGTTTAGTTATTTCATACTTGAACATCTTGTTGTAGTGTCATAGCTCTGACTAAATGAAATGTGTTCTTCATTCACAGATTCTGATAAAAGAGCCCTCCCCCTGTCCCCCATTGGAGTTGACAGAGCATGGAGGTAAAGATGATTCCTCCTCATACCATTGTACATATTATTGTATATATTCTCCTGGTATAGTGATTTACAAATGTATATTATTTACAGGTGGTGCATCAAGAGGCAGTTGCTGTGCACAAAAAAGGTAAAAGAACTACTATTTCTATTCTTGTACATCCCATGGCAATATAATATAATAATAATAATATAGTATACTGTGTTTGGTCCAAAAGTAGTCAGTCAATAATGTGGGAGGAAGGCCTTCATTGTATTTTATGTATTGATTTATTGTAACAAATTCACTGCATAATATATTTATTGTGTGTATCAAATTTCCAGCACGTTCGTCACCCAGAAGCTCTGGGGAAGATGGCTGACAGGAGGATCAGTGGGAGCCGAGTCAGTTGCCCTTCACAGGAGCTCCTGGACCTCAGAGACTGCGGACAGAGGCTGCAAAGCTGGATTCATCTGATCCAGACTTTCTGGAGCTGGATTCATCTGATCCAGACTTTCTGGAGCTGGATTCATCTGATCCAGACTTTCTGGAGCTGGATTCATCTGATCCAGACTTTCTGGAGCTCTTCTTCACGGAGGGAGAACTACAAATGGTACACAGCGTGTCGTGTTCCGTTGCACACAGTGTTTCAACCTCTACAACTCAAAGCTGAACTACTGGGAGGACTGAAAAAGCAGATAAACTCACTCATACACACACTCACGAACACTCAAACGCACTCACTCACTCACTCACGCACACAGACACTCACTCGCACACTGACATTCACACATTCACATGCTTCATTCTATTTTATACATCTATAGTTTTATTGATCTTTGTGTTGTTGTTGTTTGACGTTTTGGTTGATGGTATAGAAGAAAGTTAAATTTTCTATCTGTGAATAAATTGCCAACAATTTGCCATCAAAAGTATTATTTCAGAGTCATGTTTTTATAATTTTTGTAATGGAACAAGTCTGAAGATGTTTTGAGTTGTCACTAAAGCAGCAAAAATGCATCTAAAGTCTCTTTTCTGCTTGATATGTTCCTGTTTACATACAGCTCCTTTTCTCTGTTTTCTTGCTCAGACCAGGTGTTATGGGTGAAAGTATGCTTTGTTCTATGGCGAATAACTCAAGAACGGTAAGAGGTAGAAACAAACTGTTTTTTTCAAAGTAAAGCAGAGAGGTTAATCTCTAATTTGGTGCCCTTGGTGTTTACATCGTCTAAAAAATGAATATTCTGTGGCACTTCAAAGTTGGGTCAAATCACCTGAAATTGCTGGCAGAACGCACTTCTCAAATCTGAAAATGCCTGGCAGTCAGTGAGTTAAATGAGATTATAAATGTAATGACACATTGTTATTCAGACCAAATGTGCTTAAATCTGTTTGACTTGCTCACAACCTTCTACTTTTGGGTACAACCAACAAGAGCTTTGAATGGGAAACTGTAGGTATGTGTTTGTGAGTGCGAATGTGGGACAACGGACGCAAATTAGCCCAAGGCTACAATCCGGAGTGATATGTTAATTAACTTGTACTGTCCCACCCAAATAAACAATAAATAAATAAACCCCAGCTTTAATTTATCCCATAATGCCAGTTTCTGATGATTTTTACTGAATTTTCAAGACCCACAGAATATTGTGTACTATGTTTTGCTTCACTGCAATCCCCAGTCGAGTAGAGGGAAGTTTTATTCATAGAGCAATGCTGCCATCTGCTGGCTTGAATTAACGCGTTAATTTTGACAGCCCTAGTAAATTCATACAATTATGATTAAGTATATTGTGTATCATGTAGATATTTATTCTGGGATACTGTTACTGGCTTATTATAATGTCAGGTCCAGTTATTCATAGTGTAATACTCCCAGGTAAGTAATGCTTGAACAGTGCTCTTCAAGATGCTTTTATTGACAAGCTGACAGAACAAGCTGCTGTTAGCCACTGCTCACGCTTAACTCAGAAACTTACAACATACACTACCGTTGTGTCAACTGGTGAGGAAAATCCCCCACCCCTGAAAAGCTCTACCATAACCAGAGCGCCCCCCCTGTGGGTAGTAAACAGACAACACAGAACTATTAAAATTGATAAAGGTCATGTTATTGTTGTGATGAAAATGCAATGTTGTGCAAGTACAATACATAACTTTTCACACTTCGAAACATGGATCAATACCCCCTTCAGTTACATTTAGATGGGGGCTAGATGGTCATAGTAGATAGCACTTTCAAAATGATGACCTATTGTTATGTAAATAATACCTATTCCCTTTTCATACATGTTTTATCATGTGATTTCAGGTTCACCACAGCCAAGCACTGTCTGAACCTCCCCTAAAGCCCTGGGTGTCTCTCCAGAAGGATGGTACAGTGTTGTGTGGCCACTGCACATGTAAAGCAGGCCTGGGAGAGGTGTGCTCACACATCACAGCCTTGCTCTATGCCCTTGAGTCTGCAGTAAAATTCCTTCAAGATCGAAGTTGCACTGATGGGCCAAGACAATGGGGACATCTTCCAGTGAAAGCAGGCAAAGCACTCTATGAAGAAGGGTTAGGAATTGACTTCACAAATCCGTCCAAAAAGCAAGCTGGAGTATCTAAGAAAAAAACATCAAAACAGAAACATACAGCGAGTGTGTCTGAAGGTGCCATAGCAAAGTTCTACCAAGATCTGGATAGTGCATCCCAAAGTCCTTCAGAGAAGAGTGGTCTCCTGAGTGTGCTACCAAAGTTCTGTGAGCAGTTCCAACCCAGAGTGTTATCCTTAAGTCTTCCACAGCCCCTAACAGAGTTGTACAACCCTCATCACCGTAAGCTGTCTGCTTCCGACCTAATGGTGAAATGCGATGATGCTTTCATCAACATAGAGGTCACACCCGAACAGGTACATATGAATCGATTAAGCCTATTAATTGATTGTATCATAATATATGATTTATCTTTTTGCATATTAAATGTTGTAGGCAGTACATGTTGAGGAAGAGACACGACAACAGGGACAGTCAAAGCTATGGTTTGACTTGAGGGCTGGTAGAGTGACAGCCTCAAGATTCAAGTCAGCAGCAAGAACAGATCCATCTAATCCATCCAAGTCACTCATCAGGCAGATTTGCTACCCAAGCCAGTGTGGTGTTTCTACTGCTGCTACAAGGCACGAGTGCTATGACTCAAACACACAGATGTTGTTTATTATGTTAAAGCCGGAGTACGTAGTAGTTATTGATTCACAAATACATGTTGTTTATCAGAACAGAAAGAAACTTAAAGGAATAGTTCACCGTTTTTACATACTGACATATGTTCTTACCTTTACCTTAGACTAGTTGATATGTGCCTGTCTGGTCTTTGTCCGTGCGCTCTGTCATGCAAACGGAGCACAAACGAGAGCACTAACGAGCTGATTTGGTTCTATACAGTATACAGCCTCCTCTGTATTGCTTATAGTACCAAATCAGCTCGTTTGTGCTCCGTTTGCATGACAGAGCGCACGGACAAAGACCAGACAGGTACATATCAACTAGTCTAAGGTAAGGTAGGGACATATGTCAGTATGTAAAAACGGTGAACTATTCCTTTAAGACAAGATTGACTTTATTGATCTCACAATGGAGAAATGTACATGTCACATTTGGCATAGATAGAATTACTCAGATTATGCAAAAAGATAGAAGTATGAAACCTGTTAAAATTAAACATGTTAATGTTAGATCCTCATTAACTCTGCTCAATATGCAACTGATATTGACATTATGTATGGTCTATCTTTCAGATGGGGATGTCAACAAGAGAAGACAGCAAGGCAGACGTATGAAGCCTGGGCCTCATCACAGCATCAGGACCTGCAAGTCTGTGACTCTGGTCTGCACATCCACCCCAGCTGGCCCTACCTCGGAACATCTCCAGATGCCTTGTTGTCCTGTAGCTGCTGCGGCGATGGTGTGTTAGAGATAAAATGCCCACACAGTGCTAATACTGGAGTCCTCAGTGCCACAGACAATCCAAATTTTTATATTAGAAATACAAATGGTTGTTGTTCTCTTAGCCAAGATCATGCATACTTTTACCAGGTGCAAGCTCAGATGTTTGTGACAGAGCGAAAATACTGTGACTTCATGGTGTGGTCCGAATCAGATTATTTCATACAGAGGATCTTACCCGATGCTGCCTTGATGAGAGAAACAGTACCCAAAGTAGAACAGATGTTTAGGTCCGCTATTCTTCCAGAGCTATTGGCAAAAAAATATACATGCCCTTGCCCACAACCACAGTCTGATGAAAGGCTTAACTCCAGCATACTGGAAGAGAGTGAAGAGTAATGTGGCCTGATTTTGTTTTTGCTTTCCACTCAATATCATTTAAACAAGGCCTAATGTTTTATTGTGGCTCATTTATTTGTAGACCCGTTTGTCATTCTTAAATCAAAGTAAATGTAATAAAGAGGCTTAAAGTTATAGTTGCCATTATGAAATGTTTATTTTTACATACTTTCGCATCACATTACCATACAATCACATTGGTCAGGGTTGTCATTTACCCAGTTAAACAGAAAAACACATCTTGAATAGATGGTACCGATGACAAAGAGAAATTAGATAACATGTATTTTACATTAATTGATTGGCACAACTGAGGGGCACAGATTGGTTAGTGCACATGCTACACGCACTATTTTGTCCAGAGTTGTGTACTCTGGATCATCAGTGGACAGGAGACTGATAGGCACAGGTCCATGCAACATCTTGTACTTGGAGCGAGCTTGTCCAATCACCCTCTCCACATGTATGCGCACAGCAGCAAGTCTTCGGGTGTCCTCCAGTTCAACTGCTCCGAGCTGTTTTTTTCCTCGTGTAAAGGCAGGGGTTTCAACTTTGGCACAATACAGACCAACCAAGTTCTGAATTGTAAAGCCTCGATCAGCAAGGATTAAGTCACCTGGTGAAAGGTTGTCCAAAAAGCCACTGTGCTCTGTGATGTATGCATCTGTTGTTCGACCACCCCAGCCCCTTGAGATGAAGGAGATAGTGCCTTGTGGAGTGATACTAACAAGGTATTTAATTGTGTTGTGGGATTTATACTGCGAATATGTCTGCGCCCTTGCCTTCAAATCCTTAGGTTTACCCATGAATATCTCAAAACAGTCAATGACTGCCATACAATGCTGAAAAGACTTTCTGAAACACATGGGCATGGACACTTTAACATGTTCTCTCTGGGGCCATATTACACACAAAGGAACTAATATATCATTGAGAATATGTATGACATTTGAAAAGACTCTAGAAATAGTTAAGTGAACTTCAAAGAGATATGATAAAAAAGAATTTGGTATGTTGAGTTTGACTTTCATTAATGTAATTAGTAGCTGTTGGAAACTTGTCAAATTTATAGTGTCTTTGAGAGCTGGACTAACAAGGTTGAACACTGCCATGAATACTTCATAGCTGTGTAGTCCAGTTAGTGACTTCAGCTTGTCCTTGTTTTTCAAGCCATTCTGTTCAAAGATGTTAACATGTAGCCTCTGTTTAAGTTCAAATGTTTCCTTTCGAAGCATCTGACACTCCAGTGTTAACGACTCTATATGTTTTGAGGTCAGGTCAGTTTGGCACATTGCTTCACCTTCAGGCATGTCATTCTCAGTGAGCTGAGTGGTCATCTCGCTCATCTCTGATGAGAAGTTCGGGAGTGCCATAGCCGCCTCGCTTCTTGAAGACAGCAGGAGTTTCTTCTTCTTCAAGTTCTGTCTCACCTTGAACTTCTCAAGGCTTTGCACAGCACGTCTCCTTGCAGGGGACTTTGTATGTGCAAATACTGAAGGTACATAATCAGGTGACAGGGGATCATCACTCTTCTGTCCTGGAAAAGAGACATGGGTTCCTTATTTACAACAAAGTAGTAATTTACACACACGTATGATGTGTGGTAACGGTTACATCTACAGTGTAAATGTTGCTGGTATCATTAGCGCATTAGCAAAAAGTTCACTTTTCTGTCTACAGCCAAACATGCTAGCTACATATTGATGGAGAGGAAAATAGTGAGCTACAGCAACAACCGTTAGATGTGTCATTGTCCTCCAAAAGCATGAATGGAAAGACAATAAATACAAAATCGTAATTTATTTACCTTGTAAAAAGTGTTCACTGCAAATACGGGAGTACTTGGATGGCTCCCAGTCTTTGCGGTTGATTGCCGCCAACCATCGCCGTCTTCTATCTTCATCACGAGTAGGAATCAGGTAGAAGGAAACATTTGGCTTGTGTCCTTGCCTGTTTGTACACCCCACCGCACTGCACGATATGACCATGATGGCTCTTATGTGGTGAAACGGTCAAGTTTCCGATGTTCGCGGTAAAATGAATAGCAGTCCAGGCTTAAATAGCGATACTTCCGCCGTCTGTCAAGGTGAGGGGGCGTGGCCGTGACGTCACATGCACTGGGTCAATATAATAAAAAAACCTCACATCCTATGCGCTTATCCAATGACGAGAGAGCACGCCTCACCCCCCGACTCCACCGGGCGCGTCTCCGTTGACGCGCGTTGGCTGCTGTCCGTCAGCCGTCCGTAAAACGGACTAGTGGTCAAACCGGCTGCAGCAGCGCGCAGCTCTGGCTGTGCGTTTATCAGCCTGCTTTATTTTTGTAGGAGACATGTTTGGGCATTGTGTGAATGAATGAATGTTTGGCTGATGGAGGAGTTATGTATTGTCGGCGTGCATGTGTGCGTGAGCGTGTGCGTGAGAGCGCCCGTGTGTGTGTGTGTGTGTGTGTGTGGTGGGAGGTGTGTGCGTGCATGTGTGTTTGGGTCTGTGACTGCAGCGTTTATTATGATCCAGCCTCTTCGTTTGTTTTCTACTTATTTAGCGCATGATACACTTTTATCGGAGCCAACTCGCCTCTCCGCGGCTTTAGGCAACAGGCAGAGCTATAGTTTTAAATAGAAGAAGCGGTGTGTGATGTGCATGAGCTGTGGCTATGATCAGTGCAAAGCACAGCATATTGAAGCATTGAGGACGTCGCGATGGATGAGGCAAAACTTATTGAAAGCAATTGGAAAAAGGGGAGAGAGAAAAGAACTCCAACATATCCAGTGTTGTGAGATCTGTCTCTCATAAGTGCAGCTCTGTGTGTGTGTGTGTGTCTGTCTGTCTGTCTGTCTGTCTGGGAGCGCGCGGCGGTGAGGAGAGAGCGCCTCGGAGGTAGACGGGACAGAGCGAGAGAAAAAAGAGCGAGGTGTATGAAAAGATTAGCGTATTAACATTACGCGAAAAATAAATGGTAGATTTACGATCAGGAAACAATTATTTAAATTAATACATGAAAAACATTACACACGTTTGTTAATAATCATTGTCATTAACAAATACTTATAACCAAGGACTACAGCATATCAATACATGTTTAACAATGTTATTCCATTGCATTTTCAATGGAAAACGGACCCGACACGCGTCGACGGACGGAACAAATAGGATTTTGGGCCCCGACTCCACCGGGCGCGTAAAACGGACGACGGATCCGTCCAAACATGTCCGTTTCATCTCCGTCTCCGTTATCTCCATGAGAGTGAATGGAAGTGGCTCCACTGCCTCCGCATGCGTCCGTCCAACGTACGTCGGACCTATTCCGTCAACGGAGGGTGCAAAAGACGTGGACGGACGAAATAGAAACAATCCTATTTGTTCCGTCCGTCGACGCGTGTCGGGTCCGTTTTCCATTGAAAATGCAATGGAATAACATTGTTAAACATGTATTGATATGCTGTAGTCCTTGGTTATAAGTATTTGTTAATGACAATGATTATTAACAAACGTGTGTAATGTTTTTCATGTATTAATTTAAATAATTGTTTCCTGATCGTAAATCTACCATTTATTTTTCGCGTAATGTTAATACGCTAATCTTTTCATACACCTCGCTCTTTTTTCTCTCGCTCTGTCCCGTCTACCTCCGAGGCGCTCTCTCCTCACCGCCGCGCGCTCCCAGACAGACAGACAGACAGACAGACAGACAGACAGACAGACAGACACACACACACACACAGAGCTGCACTTATGAGAGACAGATCTCACAACACTGGATATGTTGGAGTTCTTTTCTCTCTCCCCTTTTTCCAATTGCTTTCAATAAGTTTTGCCTCATCCATCGCGACGTCCTCAATGCTTCAATATGCTGTGCTTTGCACTGATCATAGCCACAGCTCATGCACATCACACACCGCTTCTTCTATTTAAAACTATAGCTCTGCCTGTTGCCTAAAGCCGCGGAGAGGCGAGTTGGCTCCGATAAAAGTGTATCATGCGCTAAATAAGTAGAAAACAAACGAAGAGGCTGGATCATAATAAACGCTGCAGTCACAGACCCAAACACACATGCACGCACACGCCTCCCACCACACACACACACACACACACACACACGGGCGCTCTCACGCACACGCACACATGCACGCCGACAATACATAACTCCTCCATCAGCCAAACATTCATTCATTCACACAATGCCCAAACATGTCTCCTACAAAAATAAAGCAGGCTGATAAACGCACAGCCAGAGCTGCGCGCTGCTGCAGCCGGTTTGACCACTAGTCCGTTTTACGGACGGCTGACGGACAGCAGCCAACGCGCGTCAACGGAGACGCGCCCGGTGGAGTCGGGGGGTTGTTTCTATTTCGTCCGTCCACGTCTTTTGCACCCTCCGTTGACGGAATAGGTCCGACGTACGTTGGACGGACGCATGCGGAGGCAGTGGAGCCACTTCCATTCACTCTCATGGAGATAACGGAGACGGAGATGAAACGGACATGTTTGGACGGATCCGTCGTCCGTTTTACGCGCCCGGTGGAGTCGGGGCCTTATAAGGGGTTTCTCCCGTGTGTGCACGCGCACTCTTCAAAACAAACATGGCGGAGAAGGAAAAGCCGCCTCCAGCGCTGCTGCAGACTAAATACCATCGATTTATTAAATACAGGCAAAACGCCAGAAACAGAGGAACGACAAAAAGTAGGAGCAACATGGTGACCAGCTGCATTCATGTTGGCGACCTCTAGCTCCGTGGATTCCTCTCTCCGACTGAACAGGTGAGCATGTTACTCAGTAGTGGCAGTAGTAGTTGTATTATTTATACATATTGTTGCCTGAGACTGTAATGCGGGTTTTCACCAAGTTAGCTAGTTAAAAATCCCCAGCTGTTGTAGAAATACGGCCGCATTTTGTGGCAATAACTGCGCATTACCTTGGCTTAGCTTTGAGAAACAACAACAGACAACACAACATCGAAGCCTTAGCCCAGCCTCAGCCATCCATAAACTCCGGTCAATTATTAGTTCCCCACATGTACAAAATTAAATGACCATATCACCAGAGTTCCCCCGTGAGTTCCACCGGGCGCGTAAAACGGACGACGGATCCGTCCAAACATGTCCGTTTCATCTCCGTCTCCGTTATCTCCATGAGAGTGAATGGAAGTGGCTCCACTGCCTCCGCATGCGTCCGTCCAACGTACGTCGGACCTATTCCGTCAACGGAGGGTGCAAAAGACGTGGACGGACGAAATAGAAACAATCCTACACAGCAAAAACGGCTGAGTAAAATTTCCAGAGTCATTATTTTTTTCCTCCAATTGAGTTCTTTTTAAACATTTTAGAGTAAAATAACCTCTAGCGGCCTCTAGAGTGCGAGTGATTTTTCAGAGATGATCAGAATCTCCTCGATTGGAGTAAATGAGGCCCCGCCCTATGTCCCGCCCCCAAAACTCAGGTCTTGAGTTTCTGAACCGCCGCCATGACAGTTTCTCGCTGGACACTAGCAGACGGAGTGTGGAAACCATGGATGTACTCATTTCTTTCTACGTCATGGATAGTCAAAAGGATACAAGGTGAGTCTAAATGCGTATTTAAAGTTTGTCACTTTTTTCAGTTTCATTTAGTCCATGCTGTTATCGCGGTGTACATTTGGAACACAGTTGTGTCTTGTGAAAGCTGCTAGCTTAGTGCTGTTACAAGTTACAAATACTGATATAGTGTTACATCTTCTGGCAATCATATGTGGTTGGAGTTGTACAGAGTTTATTAGTAATGGATTAATATACATTCAAAATGTAGAATTTGTTAAACTTATGTTAATTAGTTAATCAAATTTTGCGTCACTGCAACACATTCTTTGAGCTATTTTTTAGTGTGTGTATGTGTTACTTTATTCAAATCAATCTGTATACACTGAATACATTCTATTGTAAAACGCCTGTTGTGCTCCGGTGACGTAGACAGACGACCGCGTGTATTACTTTGGTGCTTTAGCATGGTTTCTCATGGGTTAGAATGGGCAAGTATTTGACACTGGGAATGAGCTATGGTGGCACGTTAGCATTGTTACGGACAGCGCAGCACATGGAGGTGACTCTAACTTGAGTAGTTTTGTTGTTAGCATTGTTGTTAGCATTGTTGTTAGCATTGTTACAGACAGCGTAGTTGACTTTGGATGCAGTTTTAGCTATGTTTGCCACATAAACACTATTACTGTTACAACAGTGACCACATGTGTGTACTAAAATTGTTTTATATGTCTCCTTAGATGAATGCTGAAGTGATGTGCAGCGATCCACAGAAGTACATCTGCTATGAAGGGCAGCTTTGTTTTGCGTTATTCTTAAAATGTAGTAAGTGGGAAATATGTAATTATCTTTAGCTTCAGGGGCATTATAAAGTAAAATGCTTTGATAATATTACATTGTACTCCACTCTGAAATGCCTTGATACTTTTAAACAATCATAAACATACATTTGTTTTTGCAGTTGCAAAATAAATGGATATTCCAACTTTCAAAGTCTATGATGAGACGAAGACTGAGGTTGATGAAGTATTTGAATTTCTCCTCAAGAAGGAGCGTTTGGGTGTGCTAGATGTTTGTTCACCAAAGGGTGTGTGTTTTTTAAATAATTAATTAATTTAATGCTGTATTTTCATATATTAAGGTTTTTATTTTGACAACTATGACTTTATGTTGCAGATGGGTTGAGCTCCCCAAAGTGGAGATACCGAGGTTGACTCTGAGGACGCGATCATAGCAGTTTAGACCTGCTTCAGTCAATAGAACTGAGGAGGTTCGTCTCTCACATGTGAGCTTGATGGTTATATATATATGCACCACACTATGTAGCTGATTAAGTTATTTTATCGTTACCATTGTAAACACTTTGTTTTATGTTTCCAGATTGAGAGCATCCCAAAGAACAAACCAGGAGGAGATGGAATCTTAAGCGATTATGCTCAAAAGCCTTACAGACAGCAGGAGACGTGATATGGTCAACATTTTGGTTGCGCATATGACAAATGAACATGGTAAAACATTGCTAATTTTGAAAGTTTCACTGTTTCATAACTAAAATATAACCTATTATTTTAAAGAAGTCCTTCAAGGCGTGTAAAAGACGAATATGCCAGAGGAATTATTGCCTTGTTATCTCTGTTTGGCAGATCCAAAGAGCTAACTTGGTATGATACTTAACTCCTCTGAACATTTGTATCCGAGTCATTCACAGGCATGTTGTCAAACTATGTTTTTATTTCAGGAGCACTATTACCGTTTTTCTGGCTGTGTCCTATGGTCCCAAAAGGACACCATTACCAAAAGGTTAGTTAAAGACTGTTGAGTTATTCTGTTGGAAAAGGTAAATTATTTGTATGTTTATTTGTCTATAGGTGGTCCGCATGCTAACTGAGATACCTACAAGAGGAAGATTGATCTGTGCTGGCAGAAAGTCTATTCTGTGAAGCAATTGCTCTCATGAAGCACACAATGGATGAAGCCATAGTCAAAGAGAAGATGAAGCAGACATGTCACTATCGTCAAAATATGGTCCTGAAAAATCTCTCGGTCTTCACAATGTTTTCAAGATTTCTGGATATATCAGGACTGGTAAGTCACCTTAAATATTGATATTGTTAATGTTGTATCAACATTTCATTATGTCTTTCGTTATAAAACAGATAGAGCAGGACTTCAGACTTACAGTATGCTTGATGATGCTACTTCAACAAAATTAGCCAATTGTCTGCAATCAAGAATTAAAGCTGAGTCCACCTCTAAAGTTGAAGGTGAGTTTTTTTATATTGGTGAAAATGGATTGTGTCACAAACACAGTAGATGACTTCCGTTTGATCTTTTTCAGGCTGGGGCAATGACATGTCTTCTTCTTCTACTTCACCAGACATGTCTGTGACCATCTCACTGTTTCTCAAGGTAAGGTCACCTCGCTTTTTCTAACTTTTTGGAAGGGCTTCATTATTAACGTATGCTTGTTAATTTTCTAGACTGGGACCAGCATTCAAGATCATCTGCACGGAATCACAGAAAGGCATCAACCCTAATATTTGGATTTCTGTGTCAACAGTGTGCATGTTCACAAATGGAATGAGAATTTTCTATTGAGCAAGTATTTGGTGCCAAATAAAAGGGTATGTGAAAAAATGTTTGATCTTTTTGTCATATTTCACATTTTTAGGAGCTTGTGGAGAAACTATCACTCAAAATTGAGTTCTTTTTAGGGAGTAAATTACTATGGAGTAAATATATAGTTCCTCAAGTAAGAGTACAAAATAGAGTGAGAGTCAATTGAAATTTACTCTATATAGAGTGAAATGTACTATTAAACAATTACTCAGAATTGAGGAATGTTAACTCTTTTTAGGGAGTAAAATACCATGGAGTAAATTTATAGTTCCTCTCGCAAGAGTAAAACTAGAGTAAGAGTCAATTTAAATGTTCTCTGCAGAGAGTGAATTTTACTATTAAAGAGTAGAATTTTTACTCTAAATTGAAGAGAAATTACTCCGATTAAACGACTCTATCAAAAGAGTTAATTTGACTCTTTTTAGAGAGGGACCAAATGTTATCAAAAATGGAGTTAAATTTTCCTCAATTTGAGTAAATTTTACTCTAGCGATTTTACTGTGTATTTGTTCCGTCCGTCGACGCGTGTCGGGTCCGTTTTCCATTGAAAATGCAATGGAATAACATTGTTAAACATGTATTGATATGCTGTAGTCCTTGGTTATAAGTATTTGTTAATGACAATGATTATTAACAAACGTGTGTAATGTTTTTCATGTATTAATTTAAATAATTGTTTCCTGATCGTAAATCTACCATTTATTTTTCGCGTAATGTTAATACGCTAATCTTTTCATACACCTCGCTCTTTTTTCTCTCGCTCTGTCCCGTCTACCTCCGAGGCGCTCTCTCCTCACCGCCGCGCGCTCCCAGACAGACAGACAGACAGACAGACAGACAGACAGACAGACACACACACACACACACACAGAGCTGCACTTATGAGAGACAGATCTCACAACACTGGATATGTTGGAGTTCTTTTCTCTCTCCCCTTTTTCCAATTGCTTTCAATAAGTTTTGCCTCATCCATCGCGACGTCCTCAATGCTTCAATATGCTGTGCTTTGCACTGATCATAGCCACAGCTCATGCACATCACACACCGCTTCTTCTATTTAAAACTATAGCTCTGCCTGTTGCCTAAAGCCGCGGAGAGGCGAGTTGGCTCCGATAAAAGTGTATCATGCGCTAAATAAGTAGAAAACAAACGAAGAGGCTGGATCATAATAAACGCTGCAGTCACAGACCCAAACACACATGCACGCACACGCCTCCCACCCACACACACACACACACACACACACGGGCGCTCTCACGCACACGCTCACGCACACATGCACGCCGACAATACATAACTCCTCCATCAGCCAAACATTCATTCATTCACACAATGCCCAAACATGTCTCCTACAAAAATAAAGCAGGCTGATAAACGCACAGCCAGAGCTGCGCGCTGCTGCAGCCGGTTTGACCACTAGTCCGTTTTACGGACGGCTGACGGACAGCAGCCAACGCGCGTCAACGGAGACGCGCCCGGTGGAGTCGGGGGGTTGTTTCTATTTCGTCCGTCCACGTCTTTTGCACCCTCCGTTGACGGAATAGGTCCGACGTACGTTGGACGGACGCATGCGGAGGCAGTGGAGCCACTTCCATTCACTCTCATGGAGATAACGGAGACGGAGATGAAACGGACATGTTTGGACGGATCCGTCGTCCATTTTACGCGCCCGGTGGAGTCGGGGCCTTATAAGGGGTTTCTCCCGTGTGTGCACGCGCACTCTTCAAAACAAACATGGCGGAGAAGGAAAAGCCGCCTCCAGCGCTGCTGCAGACTAAATACCATCGATTTATTAAATACAGGCAAAACGCCAGAAACAGAGGAACGACAAAAAGTAGGAGCAACATGGTGACCAGCTGCATTCATGTTGGCGACCTCTAGCTCCGTGGATTCCTCTCTCCGACTGAACAGGTGAGCATGTTACTCAGTAGTGGCAGTAGTAGTTGTATTATTTATACATATTGTTGCCTGAGACTGTAATGCGGGTTTTCACCAAGTTAGCTAGTTAAAAATCCCCAGCTGTTGTAGAAATACGGCCGCATTTTGTGGCAATAACTGCGCATTACCTTGGCTTAGCTTTGAGAAACAACAACAGACAACACAACATCGAAGCCTTAGCCCAGCCTCAGCCATCCATAAACTCCGGTCAATTATTAGTTCCCCACATGTACAAAATTAAATGACCATATCACCAGAGTTCCCCCGTGAAGTGGTGTTAGCATTAGCGTTCGCTGTTAGCATTAGCGTTCGCTGTTAGCATTAGCTGTCTGTAGTTGTGAATATGATGTGGCTGCTACGAACACTTCTGATCTGTATGAATCGTTTGTTTTTGCCAATAAACATAGTTGCTTTTATACGTATATATGTATATGTATATGTATATATGTAGGTCTGCATTTCATTCTTCAATGACTAAGTTTTGCAACTTGCACTCTGTATATTAGTTTTATTGTTATAAAAACAATATCTCTTTACCTCAAATCTAACTTTCGTGACCACTACATACATTTGTATTATTATGTATTGAGAATAAGAAAGAAAAGTCTTTCTGACTACTACCAAATAAATTATGAGCATGATATAATATAGACATTGTAATAATTTACATGTCTTCATTGCATTCTTTTCTCTGTATCTTTTCCAGTATGGCCTAAATCAATTGGAATGAGGTCTTCAATGTACAAGAGATCAACAGCCTCCATAATGCAAGTTAAATAACTATGAAAAAAAAACAATGCCATAACGACTAGATACTTTTCTGCTGAGCTCTTCTTTCTCTAGTATTGACTGGGAAGACAAGACTTTGCTTCCAGAATTAGAAGAATGGCCATTGTCATCTCCTGAGGAAGACTTTACACCCCACATTTGTCATGTAGGTTGTTGTGAATGCATATATGGGACGCAGTGATTATGATAATGATTTTGTGATGTGTGTGTCGTTCATCCCTACAGTTGTGTTGCTGCCCTGAGGTCCAAAATGAATATCGATCATGTTCCAGGAGTCAGTGTTGACAAAACTGTCGCTGAGTTTCTTCAACAATCAAGAGGAGTGAGATAATCACTCGACTCCCAAAACAGCCAATGTAAGTGTCTTTCTCTCACAATGCACAGTCTCTCGCAGTCCAAATAAACATGTACAAGGATCCTGTGAATCTGGGGCCACTCCTGGTGATCAATAAATACTGATGTTGTTGATGATGAATATATCAAAGTCATATTTGAGTAGATAAAACTGATGTCTCTTCTATTATGTTTCAAAGGAAAATCTCTGCCAGAGGAAGACTCCAGTTCCTTCAACCTGGGCCCCTGAAGCGTGGCTGTCTGTGCGTGTGGCTGTGTGTGCTTGTGACTGTGTGTGCTTGTGACTGTGTGTGCTTGTGGCTGTGTGTGCTTGTGGCTGTGTGTGCTTGTGACTGTGTGTGCTTGTGGCTGTGTGTGCGTGTGGCTGTGTGTGCTTGTGGCTGTGTGTGCGTGGCTGCTTATGAATTATTTTGAGGAAATGTGTTCAAACAAGCTACAACATAAAGATTAACATTTTGTTGGATATCTCTGATAGTGTTCGCTGCAGCAGCGATGGATAAGGACCTGGATAATAACAGTGTTATTCATTTGAGCAAAAAGTGATAACACAAACGTTGCCTTACCATCACTTGTAATTATTTGTCTTAGTAGGGACATTGTGTATATTTTTCCGGCTATAACTTCAAATCTTCTTTTACATAATAAAGTTTCTTAGACTCGTTACAGACTGTATTTGTTTTCCTACTATAAAACAAAGCACATTGAAAGAGGTGAATGTATTTATTTTTATTTTGAAATAGTACAACTACAAACATATTTCAGAACTGCAGAGTGGACGTGCACCATGGGGGCCGCTGAGGAAAGCACGTTTTCAATGTCTGTTGGCACCTTTCACAGACGCATCAGGGAAAGGATCTGGTCATCAGCTTCTCTGGACAGAGGGCGTTCAGTGCTTCCTGAAAGAACCGTTATGACAAATGACTTTATATATTCTGTTACTTGTAGCTTTTCTTTCAAAGTAGTGAGTTTCCTTACAGTGTAATAGTGTAACGTAATTAGTTATGACAGTACTTTTGCGTTTCGGACAAGCTTTACTGGAATTGTTTTTCAGTCCCACATCTCACTGTACAGCTCTGATACACTTTGATTTTGTCTTCATTCTCTGAACAATAAGCACATAATACAGATGTTGATTACATCAATAAATGTATCTTTATTTTGTGACATTGAGAAGGCAGCTTCCAGTGAGATGCAGCTTTACTTTCACATAATACATTACTACAGTGTTGTCTATAAAGAACTCCAAATATACAAATTGTGAGGAAAGCAGTAATGTATTACTTTAAATAACCTTCATGTAAAGCTTTGTTGTTGTAATGTATATGCATTACATTCATCTAATACATATGCACTGTAAGAGATGTTACAGTGCATAATGTTGAGACACGTCACACTGTAATCTGCAACATTATGTTTATCACACCAGTTATCAGTGTACCAACTATAAAAGCAGTATTATTCTATAAAAGACTGGATTGTTTTTATCTCTTTCTTAGTGATGCTATCCTAGCTAACACCAAGCTGCTTTCAGTGTTATAGCTAGGTTACAACTGAGCTATTCTATGCTAATATTTCACTCCCAGAGTTTGTTAATATACTTACGAGTAGACCTGACGGAGATGAACGTGCTGCTGCCATCACCAAGACGATGCGCGTTCATGTGGTGTGACGAGGGGACGGGGGCGGGGCTACTAACTCGCTCAGGCAGAAGAAACTGTCGGAAACGACCAAATCGCTTACTGCTGCTTTAAAGTAATTGTTTTAGATTTAAGTGACAATTTATAAGAATAAATTCAGTATTTACAAGATTAGTCATTTTTGAGAATAAAGCCATTATTAACAATGTTAAAGTCACTATTTATGTATATACAGTTGCCAAATTTTGTTGCTTTTGTGGAAGGGGGATGAGAGGGATAAGGGTTCTGCACTTGCAGAACCTACTTCTATTTTGTTTATTGCCTCTGAGTTCTTTATGTAATGTTCTTTTCTGTTTTTCAGGCGTAAAGATTTCACCCCAAACCACAACTCAAGGGTCTGTGGATGGCATTTTCCACATGGCAAAGCAGCCGGGCCAACACGGTTTGCCTGGAATGAGGGAAAGGCTTTCCCTCACATTAGACATCCAACCAAACGGCAAAAGAAAATGCTCCCAGCGACTGTAGAGGACGAAGGAAGAGCGGAACCAGGCCCTGGTCACCTCTGCAATGCTCAAAAGACCCCAAGTACTTTGAGTGTTTTGGTGCTCGAAATTGAGAACGAGATGCTCAAAAAAGAAAATGACAAACTAAAAGAATTGGAGAAACAAAAACAAACGTTTTCATTTAGTCAAATATGACTGCATCATTGAGGTAAAATGTCCCTATGCAGCCAGAAAGAAGACCATAATTCAGGCAGCAGAGGCAAAGGACTTTTATCTCAAACTGGATGAAGTCACTGGCCTACTGAAAATGAAACAGACCCACAACTACTGGCATCAGATTCAGGGCAACCTGTACCTGACAGGAGCTGGCACTTGTCACCTGGTGGTATGGACTCCGCTGGATCTTGTAATCCTATTCATCCAGAAAGATCCAGCTTGGGCAAACAACATTACTGTTTTAGAAACATTTTATAAGAATTTTTTTCTGCCCCATATTCTCTCCGATATTAAATGATTAACCCTGCATTCTTTACATGTTCTAAAGCAGGATTTTCATTCTGAATGTTGAAGCCTCCCCAAATTGTACTTGTTTGAGATTAATGTTTAAGATATATTAACATCTGTGCATTTGTACCAGTTGCTGCTGTTAGATTTGTTTTATTTATTCTGAAAAAAGCAGTAACGAGGAAACCCATGTAGTCCAAATAAATTGAGTGGGAGCAACATAATCACTGTGAAGACTTGTTTTTATTAGATAGTTCAGCTGCCCTTTCATCCACGCTGTCAAATGGATATCTAAGTACTTCTCCAAATTATTCACATTTTATGGTGGATTAAACAATTGTTTTGACAAACACCATAAAAAGTAATCTAACATTTATTGTTAAACATTTCAGTTTGTGAAAATTGATTAGCAAGGAAAAAACAACTATATTGATACATTTCTGATGTGCTTCCACCATATAGGTCACTGGCGAAGGTTGTGACGCCATTGGGGGCCACACCAATCAGAGCCTTAAGTGTGGTACATCCTTTGTAATGACTGTACAGATGACTTTGGGTGTCCAAACTTTGTGTTGGACACAGCTACTTCAGTACAGTCTAGCACAATGCGACAATTTGGAAACGGCTGGAAGCAATGTGGCAGGGAGGTTTGGTTCTTGAATCTGGAGGGAATTTTGTTTTCCATCATGCCTACATACAAAATGTCATACAGGGCACTGGAGATGGTGATGAAGATGTTGGTGACTGTGGCCCGGCAGCAGTTAAACCTCAGCGAAAGGTCAACAACACCACAATTTAGTCGGAGTTTCATCAAAGTCAAGAGCAACTGATCGATTAGGGGCATTTTTTGGACATTCCAATCAAAGTGATACTGGAGATCAAATTTGGAAAGAAGGGTCTCCAAAAAAAAGACTGTGGCAGCATCTGGCAATGATGCAGTCATCAGATACTAGCCCATCTGGGGAGCCACCAAGCAGGCCACTGTCAGAGAGAAACACGCCGCTCTCCTGGAAGGTCACACCAGTGCGCTTCATATACTCTTCACATGAAACAATAAAATACAAAACACAAGTCAAACCTGAGGCAATTCTGGAGCAATTATCCAACCCAGACCTGTAAAACGGTCAAGCTGTGCCAAAGATGACAATGCCCATTCTCTGTCCTCCTGGGTGACAGGTCGTTTAATTCCAGCTGAAATAATAGCATAAAAAGTTATGATGGTAACTGATATGGATTTAAGTGAGAATACCACCCCAGTAGCACCATTCATTTCCAACACCTTAAACCCAGGTTTAGATTTTAGTATGGAAAGAAAACATAGGGTCATGGTTTTTGATATCTCCTAGTTACTCGAAGTACTAACCTTGTGATGTGGAAGGTGCAATCACAGACACTTTCTTTGATGTGATTTCCTCTGTTTTGGGTGTCGTGGGCCTCTTCCACATACACTCGACATCTGTGCGAGTAAAGTTCTTCTCAGCCCAAATGAGGAGAGCTGCAACATGGTGGCACTTGGACCTCCCGATAGCACAAGAGCAAGTACTTGCCTTCACTTCCTGACCCTCAACGTGTACCTGAGTAAAATCATCTTTGCTAACTCTCACAAAAAACTCCTAACAATGGTAAAAGACAGAGAGCAACACTTTGTCTTGCACTAGGTGGTGCTAACAACTAGTTAAGTAATGTCCTAAGCAGTCTAATCTGTATTGGGCGAGTACCTTTCCAGAGTAAGTTGTCAACAAACCATAGGTACTTATTCTAACATAGCTAAGTACAATAGTTAACGTCACACTGGTAAAGTGGTCGACAGCCTTATGTTAGCGAGTTAACGCTAACGTACTAAAAACTTGTAACATCTGAACCATGAGAAATGTTCAATCTTTTTATGGTAAAGGTCGAAAGCTAAACCATTGGACTAACAATTTGTTGTATGTATAAAAAAGTCGTAGAATTTTGGGCCGTCAGAGTCAGTACCTCACCTCGTAAATTTTACTTTTCATTGAAGCCTGTACTTTCCCTATAACACTTCCACCTGCCAGCACACTAACATTTACAACTCTGTTTGAGTTGTAGGAGTTAAGACCCTTTTTCACTGACTTTGGGATGTCAGCAAAATACGATGTCACTGTGAAAAAAGTGACCGGTTCCTTGGCTACCGCCATTGTGTTTACGTTAAGTACAGCGGGTTGGACACGGAAGTGATGTCGTGACGTCACACTAGCCATCCCCATAGTAATTGGGTGACCCCACACTCTGCTGAAGTGTGGGGTGGAAGCTACTTCATCTGCACTCCCAATACATTTCCAGATTAGTATTTTTTTTTTACAAACCCAGTGAGAAATGTCAAACCAAAAAAGGTTTTTAGCTGCTAGACTGTCACTGTCCATGCATTTTCTCTGCTGAATGGGAGACGCTGTGTGTGTGCACTGAAATATTGTGCTGCATACAGCTTTGTCTGTTCGACAACAAGATCCAGGATCCAGAAGTTCATCAGTTATGAAGAGCTGCAAAAGTCAGCTGCTGATCCAAATCAAGCTCTGCTGCAGCATTTTGGGGTCCTGGGGTCAACAATCTACAACACAAAGGAAAATATAAAATCACCATACATTTTCACATTATAACAAGTGTTTTGGCTTCAGCAGCTATGACATTGAGATAAAAAAAAAAACCTCTTCAATACTCGCTAAAAACGTTACTTTATGTTTATGTTTACTATAGTATAAGCCAGTGATTGCTATAGTCACTCACTCCAGAATCTCTCTATGTTTGAACGCAAAATCACGCAGACTCTGGGATCAGAGCAACAGGGAGAGTCTCTCTCCCTCTGTTCCAAAGCAGCAGCGGGCGCGCTCCTGACGCACCCTCCACAGTGAGACGCACCGCAGCAGGAATGCACATGGTGCGGTAAATCTAACACTTTGCTCACCATGGGTCCCGCTCACCGGTCTGCCATGGATCACCTCCCCCTGTCCCTTCTATAAACCACACGGTAACATCATCCATAGCTCCCTGGCAGCTAATGCTGCATGCCAGACTCACACGCCTCCAAACTCAAGAGGGAAACTTTTAGAAAAATGTCCCGCGTAATCAAGCATTTTACCCCGCAATAATCATTCATCAATCAACAATTGCGCGCAAAATCCTGGAGGGGCCGATAGTACATTAGACAGAGAGGAGAAATAAACTCGTAAATGCAACATGTTGAAGTGAAAAGCAACTTACCACATGACGACGGGGGGAGGAGCCGCTGCTGCTGCTGCTGCTGCTGCTGGACGAGGAGGGAGGGGGAAGGCTCCGAGGATCCTGGAGTCTCATGTTAACTAAAACCTGAAGAACTAGCATCGTGGCATCTAGCTGCTTCATATTTATCCGTTTGATAACTGAACAGGCTCTCAAACAGCGTTAGCTGCGTGAGCTTCTCAGATCCGCGATCCTCTGTGTAAGCATGGCTGCTCCTCTGGCTGTTTGCTGCTCACAGCACCACATGCCCCCTTCTCCCTCCCTGGATCTGGCCACAGTGTCACCTCTGCCCCCTACAGGATCGGTTCCAAAGTGTTTACAGGTCTGAAATGTTGACACAGGATGCACAAGAGCCTTGACGAGCCATAGAAAGAAAAAAACGAAAAAAAAGCCACAACGCTAGCTTTTTTCACTGAGGCTGTTGAAGAATTTGGCTATCCACTAAGGTAAAACATGTCACATTTTGGTGAGCAGATAAATCTTTTCTTTGTGCAATCCACGATTCACACTATTTAATGATTGTTTCACTTTTGGCTATTATGCAATTTTTAAAGTTGTATAATAGCCAAAAATCATTCTATTTATTTTCTTTAATCGTCTGTTTCTCCTTTTAGAGTACGTGCTGATCAAGGAGGAGAGAATGTAGATGGTGCTCGCTTAATGTTCAGTGTTTGGGGCCCAGACAGTGGTTGCTTTTATGCAGGAAAAAGTGTTCATAATCAGAGGTAAAATGGAGAATTTTGAAATAAGGGAAATATTATGAACAGTAAGCAGTTTCTTAAGACTTAAATTTCAAATGTTTTTTCCAACAGGATAGAGCGCCTTTGGCGCGATGTTTGGATGGGGGTCACCAGTGTGTTCTACCACACTTTTCACATGATGGAAGAAGAAGGCCTCTTTGATCTAAGTGATGCCACTCATCTCTTCTGCCTCCATTATGTGTTCCATAAAGGATGGGACAATCACCCTTTAAGAACGGAGCAAAACATGACCCCTAACCAGTTGTGGTTGGCTGGGCAGATCCATCACCACATTCCAAATCCAATGGTATTTTGAATGATTTAGTGTTTGTATTTGCAAATATTTTGTAAATTTAAAATACTAAAATTGATTTTGCTCACTTATCAACTCAAGGACTTAAACATTCCTGACATTGATTGGGACGAGAGTGGGGAGGTCCCTGAGGAAAATGTTGGGGTCCAAGTACCAGACCTGGAGAGCCCACTTACTGCGCAGCAGCTGAGCACATTGTCTGTCCACATCGACCCTCTGCAGCCATCAGAGTCAAATGGTGTGGATGTATATTCGGCAACACTCCAATATGTAACTAATATGCTTGAGGATTAGAAAATTAGCAGAGGTGACAAAAATAAAAGTACAGTTGTCTAAAAACGAAAAGTTATTTTGAAACTCCATTATTGTTTTTATTAGTAGGTTATTCTGTAGTGATCTAATATTTTTTTAGATCACATTTTTAGATTATCTGTATGCAATAATGGGAATATTACACTTTGAGTTTACATTATATACTGGTTTAAAGTTCTGAATTGAGTGACAAGAAATATCGAACTTTTCCCTTGATATTTTAGAGATGTGTATAACTAGATATCACTATATAAGCACTTATGTACCAGCTATTTCAAAATAGAACCAGTCAGTGAATATATACTTTTAATGTTGGTACTTCACTTGACTATCGGTGAGTGTAAAATTATACAATGTTATGTTTCTTTAATTGTAAAGAAGAAAAAGAGGGGAGGATAAAATATTCAAATGCTTTTAATTATAAAACAGTTAAACATTGCATGTTAACTTTTAGAACACAATGGTAAAAGGCTAAATCTTTACACCAATCCACAGGCCAGTGTACAGGTTTGCAGAAAACTTGAAACAAAGGTAAATTTAATATCGTGGAAATTCAAATTTTGGCTGCAATACATTGACTTCAATGGTCTAGTCAACCATAGATGATCAGATTCAGCATAGGTTAATTTACCTTTTGGATATTTAATTATGAATTACATTGTAAATGAAGGAAATCTGGCACTGACCCTCAATGTTGCCTCATGGAATCATCACATTCTAGAATCTGAAAACCAGTAATAGGTTCTGTTCACGCAACATCCCAACATTCTACAAGCCAATGTGGCTTGGTGGGGATATGGCATATGGTGGGGAGCTAAAATGAACATTGTTTAAATGCATGTTATAATTGTAATGCACAAGGTTAATGAGTCTAGTCACTACAAATACACCAGATTTTAAATGTGTGAAATGAACTGGATATATTTTTTTTGAAAAGTACAATGTTAATAGGAAGAACTCTATTGCACCACTCTGTTGGACTTATGACATCACATTATAGAACGTAAACCAAACCTATAGAGCCCTGGATTGTGACATCACATAGAATGCTGTGTGGCAAGACGTGCCCTGCTTCCATAGAGAAACATCAGCAAAAATTATCTCGAAAAGTAAACAAAAGAGCTGTGGAACGACATGACATTGTACTGGGTCACTATAGTGGTAACATCTGTCACTCCACAGTGTCGGAATATGTTTTAATAAATGCAATGTTTAGCATTTAACGTCAGAAAATCCCTATGGAGATTTCCAGATGTTAAATGCAACATTTAGAATCAATTAAAACGTATTCCGACACTATGGAGTGACCCAGTGCTTTCAATCGCATCATTCCACATCTCTTTTGTATACTTTTTCAGATAGTTTTTGCCAATGATAAGCTATTAGTCACTAGACTCATTAACGTTTTGTATAATTTAAAATAAAGTGGATTTAAACAATATTTCATATAACTGTACTAAATATTTTAGGCCTGTAGAATGTTGTGATGCCATATGAACAGAACCTATTCTCAGACCTAATAGTATGAACTATTGTGGGCAAACTCTTATTCCCAATAATAATAACGTTTTATAGCGTAGCACATTAACATCAAGGTGAAAAAATAAAAAGATTACAAAAAGGAATCGGTTATAATAAACCCAAACTTATTAACTAAAATAGTAAATCCAAATTTTAGTCCAAAAAAAAAAAAAAAAAGAAACCTACACAAAACCACTTTCCACAGATTCCAAACAAGCCATGATATCAGCTTTAAAAGCCTGGTAAGTGAAATGGTTCGGAATTCGAAGGCGTTCGAAACAAGTGCTTGAGGTTGGGAGATGGTTCATCCCTCTTGATTTTACAACTTGTAGTTTTAATCTTCCTACAGGCACCTCCCACCCGATCCAGAATTTCAGCAGCTGGCGCAGGTGGTCTGAAGATGCTAAACAAATAGAGGACATAGTTTGAAAAAATGTGTAAAAGATGTGTTATGTACAATTACACACCAATACCTTGTTCAATAAAGGTTCTCAAGAAACCTGTGGTAACACTGACTGTTTCAACAGGCACATCATTGTCGCTGACGCTGTCACTGTCGTCCCTTTTTTCAGAATCGGGCCATTTGATACTTTCAAGAATCGCCTGTGAATATAGGTATTATCAAACTTAAAGAACATCTCTATCTCTAAATATATATATATACACACACACATCAATGTGAATTGCATAAATACAGGGCTTTTTTGTGTGCAATTTTTTTCATCCTCAAAAGGAGATACAACATGAGATAAACAAGGTTGATGGAACAGTGTAATAGCTTTGCATAATGTGTCCTTTAAATATTTGGATTCTTATATTGATTTAAAAAAAAAAATTGTCACTAAAATTTCCTATGATTTTTTTTGTATTTTAATTATTCATTGTATTGTTTTTCTTACTTTGGAAGTGATGGTCACTTCTTGCTCTCGAGGAAACAGTAGAGGTATAGTATCCGGTCGACAAACAAGGAGAGGCCAAGGGAATTGCCTAAGTACATAAAAAAGTTAGTAATTACATCCTAGTATTAAAACAATCATGTTCAATATTGATAGCAATTATGAGCCAATTAGATTAAGTTGTTTTGTTGTAAAGGTGATACAGAAACATTAAGTTAAGCAATTAATCGCAAATAATTGATTTTCGAAATAATCATCAATGCAATTAACATAACTATACTAAATTATATGTGCATAACATGTGCCGAGAGAATTCGTTTTGTGACTCATACAATGTGTTACTTAGAAATGTCACTAGAAATATGTGAATGTTACTTGTTGTTATCATATAATTATTATGTTTTTGTGATAAAATATGTTCTCATGCAGCATGTCTTCAGCTTTGACCAAACCCGACCAAAATATGACCTCTTTAGTCACATTTTGTAAACATCTCATTCACTGGACTAGCTAAAATTCTACCTTTTAAGTGCCTGTTGCACTCTTGCGGGATTGGCACTAGATGTAGGTGCAACTGTAGGTGCGACCGCTGGTGTGGTGGCTGTGGATGGACCAGGTGAGGCCCTCAACGTATTGAGGAGGTCCTCCACCATTGCTTCCACCCTTTTCTGTAATTATAAGCAACACAGTGAAAATGAAAACAGTGTAAAATAATACTAATATGTTTCAATAATATACTACAACATTCTCAGATGCTCCATCTGACAGAGACTAAAAAAGGGAGCACAACTATAGTTCTGACCAAGCTAGCAAAAAGACCTGGGGATGTTTCTCCGAGCGCTCACTGCTCTTGAGTAGATGCCCCAGAGGCAATGCATGAATAGTCAAATGCATTTCCCCATGGAGACTTTAACCTTAGTTGAGCATTTATAGTTTAAAACCAGACTTCACACTGTCAGCCGCCAAAGATCGGTGGACATAATGGCAATAACACTGGTCCGGGGATGTTGACATAACAAAAGAAATCCTGACCATTTAAGAACCATTTTCCAGATATATTCTTAAGACTGTATTACCAGTCATAACATGAATTAAATATTATGGTCATGTCCATCTAGCAGCGCAAACCCTATGCAACAACCATGGATGTATTGGCAACAAAATGTTAGCTGTGAAAGTTAGCTTTGTGTTGCCGTCAGTCTATCTATTACTACAACACTTTAAAAAGGGAATATTTTATATTTACGCTACAAAATGCACGACTTGTATTATTACTTGTCAACAGATATAAAACAAATTATGTTTGCGAGTTTTTACTTACAATTGAAGGCGGTTCACCACTGGCTGGCGCTTGCTGTCCCGCCATGTTCAACCCATTGAATTAGAGCTCAAGTGAAAACAACACCACCCCCAGTTGTTTGAAATGTGCAGGCCCGTCATCCCACTGCTTCCAAGCGGTCACGAAGGGAACTGTGCTGTTGCGAGAATAAATCTGGGAAAACCACGCGGCGGGATGTTTGTGTCAAAAAGATCCTCGGCGAATCAAAGGCTGAATGCACGCGGTGAGTGATTCACAAATGCAGACTCAAACGCTCACATGCAAAACCAGAGATTTGCAAATACAATTAGATTTTATTTTCTAATGCGTGTTCAAAAAATTGCATGCAAAACTAACTTTTTGAATAAATCCGGATTTTGCGAGGATTGAAAACTGTGCATATATTTTTCATAAAAACGTGTGAAATTTGTCTCAAAAATATCCACATTCACAAAGAAGAAGATTTCACCCTGTAGGTAATTCACAAATGCAAAGGCACAGATTCACAAACCAAAACATACGTTTTATTCACAGAAGCAGTGATTCACAAACCAAAACATACGTTTTATTCACAAATATATATGTGCAAATTATATTTTACGTGAATAAATCTAAGCACGCAAATTAGATATTATGGATAAATCTGGGATTTTGAATTAATTTATATTTTTGCATGAATGAATCAATATGACACAAATCTCACCCCATAAGACTGCTGCCCCAGCGACCCGACAACGGATGAAGCGGAAGAAAATGGATGGACAACACACAATGTATACATTGATATTAGTCAATTAACTAAATCTAATCGAACTGAAACAATTAATCGTTAGATTAATCGATGCATGGAAAAAATAATCGCTAGATTAATCGTTTAAAAACATAATTGTTTATCCCAGCCCTATTTGTAGCAGTACAACAAATTGCTCCCCATACAACACATTACCACACTAACAATAGACCCCGTGCACTATAAAATGCTAACTTCCAGGTTTGAGACCGGATGGCCGCTGTTGTTTTCTACTGAGAATGGACTCTAAAAAACGCGGGATTTGCAATCGAAAAGACGGCTTTACTTTTCAAAAAGCACACTTTTGTAACCATCACCACTGTAGCTCCCCCTTGTGCACTGCTGGAGGTAGAGTTAACAAAATGCTAAGTTTCCACAGCTTACCTAAATATCCAGATTGCAGCTTATATATGTGTGTGTGTATATGTAATAAATATAATATATATTGAAGAAGATGACATAGTCTGGGATCGTGTCATAAATTCAGACAGAAGACATGTTTTATTGTCAATGGTAGAGACAGCACGAACACGAACACAGACAGAATGCAAGTGTATTATACAGAGCGGAGGCATGGAGACCTCCAATCAGCAGCTTCCACGGTGTGCTTGTAGCTTGGCCTTCAGATAGACAAAACAAGGGAAAAGTACTGGCTTCTGCACATTGATAGAATGATGAGTTTAACTTCAACAAAAGTTGCTTAAAAGTGTTATGAAATCTCACATTCCCCCCTCTGGTCACACATTCACGTGTGACCATCAGGATCGATAAACAGCAACATAACATCATAACTCAATACTTCAAAAACTAATAAACTCGGTACTTCACTCGGTACTTCAAAAACTCAGAACTCGGAAACTCAAAACATGTTCAGATCTTTCATAAAACTTGTCAACAATCTTCAGCAAAATACCAAACTTCATCAGTCGATGGTGGTTCCAGATATTGCTTTGAAAACAGTCTCTCCCACTTCTCCGTGTTGGTTTCTTCAGGCTACATCTGTGTCGAGCCATGAATTCTTCTGTGACGTGTCTTTCAAATCACACGTTTCAGCTTCAGTGTCCAGATTCAGCAATTCAATTCAGTCCAAATTATGTCCAAATTCAGATATCCAATTGTTCCAAATCATGTCCAAATTGTGTAATCCAATTGTTCCAAATGGTGTCCATGCAAAAGAGGACGATGGTATTGTCCTAGTCTCAGCAGCTCACAGCCTGATTGGAATCAGGGGCTGTGCAGATTGTCCAAGTGTGCTGGTCCAGATGCATTGTTTCTCTTGAGGTTTCTCAGTTTTGGCTTAAAAAAAACCACTTTTTGGGTAAAAAAAAAAAGTAGTCTTCTGTTCTCTAGATGTTACAGACAAGGCCCGCATCCTTCCACCACCTGAAGAAGATGACATAGTCTGGGATCGTGTCATAAATTCAGACAGAAGACATGTTTTATTGTCAATGGTAGAGACAGCACGAACACGAACACAGACAGAATGCAAGTGTATTATACAGAGCGGAGGCATGGAGACCTCCAATCAGCAGCTTCCACGGTGTGCTTGTAGCTTGGCCTTCAGATAGACAAAACAAGGGAAAAGTACTGGCTTCTGCACATTGATAGAATGATGAGTTTAACTTCAACAAAAGTTGCTTAAAAGTGTTATGAAATCTCACAATATATCTACAGATATATCTCTATATTTATAGCAGTTTATCTCGGTTTACAACAATAATAATTAATACAGAAATGAATTAATTATACCATTTAGTACTACTAGTACTACTAATATAATAAATATTCAAATGTCATTACACACAACGATTTCATACTGCTTCTTTCTATAAACATATTCCACATGGACCTGAAGCACTCTGCCCTGACCACCACCTCTCAAGATTCAATCATTTATTGTCATTGTTACAAAACAAAACAGCACAATAGGTAGTTTAACACGGGTACAGGATGTAAACCTCACAGGGCTATAAGAGGTTGTTTAATAACACAAGTACAGGATGTAAACAGCACAGAGCTATAGGAGGTTGTTCACACTGGTACACGATGTACCTGTAAGCATACTTCATACAGAGTAAAAGTATGAAGTGAGTATGTTAGCGGTAACCATGCAGGACCAGTTCACAGTTATGGCAGGTACAGTGCCTTGCGAAAGTATTCGGCCCCCTTGAACGTTTCAACATTTCGCAAAATTTCAGGCTTCAAACATAAAGTTATAAAATCTAAATTTTTTGTCATGAATCAACAACTAGTGGGACACAATCGTGAAGTGGAACGAAATTTATTGGATAATTTAAACTTTTTTAACAAATAAAAAACTGAAAAGTGGGGCATGCAATATTATTCGGCCCCTTACTTTCAGTGCAGCAAACTCACTCCAGGAGTTCAGTGAGGATCTTTGAATGATCCAAAGTTGTCCTAAATG